GGTTCTAGTATGCTGTTTATCTTGCAGAGCTCATTGGGTGCACCGTGTGTGCAACTTCATTTATCATCATATTCAATTAAATCAGCACACTCGGATGGCTGCTTTGATAACCTTCTCAGTTTTTATTACACAGTGTCTCTCTCGTGTTCCTGCCAGCTCTACAATTTACAGGGAAGCTGTACATGGCTATTAACAACTTTCCGAGAAAGTCATGTAAGTACACGAGAACACAACCACTAGTAGTGCATTCACAAAATAATCCCGATGATGTCATAATTACTGCCTACAATTAATCACTAGCAATCAAACTAGCTGCACTAAATAAAGAACCTTCTGTGCATCAAGAGACGTAATAACAGGCTGCTCTTTCGTCTCTGTTTGATTCATGGAAAAACAAACCGCTGGACGTTACTATGGGGAATGCCACGAGTGGTTCAAAGGTTTAATTTTCGCCTGGTTAAAATGGACAAGTCGTGCTATCTAGCGAGGCCTAGTTGAACCAAGCATGCAGGCCATCTTTGAGGCCACAGCAGGAAATTGATCAACGGCCATTGATGCTGCTGACACTTTGTAAGCGTATAACATGTACAACTGCCTGTAATGAAAGGCATACAAGTGAAAAGTTGTTAAGCAGAGGGTGCTCTTGAAGTTGCAGTGGCAATGAAGACAACATGGTTGAGCTGGTAAGATATATCTGTCATTTGACAGTACAAACATATTTATAAGACAAGGTAGAAAAGTGCTACAGCATGACAACATTGCAATTTAATAGTGCAAATACTCAATTTGATTGATTTTTAATAGTAAATTATATATAATGATTGTACATTATTTATTTTTGTTGACTTGCAGTATGTTGATTGAATATCTAAGTTGATGGGCCAGACCAGAGATGAAAATTCAAGCTGAAGGCAAAGAAATGCTCCTAACATGGTGAGTTTAATGGTAAAAAAAAAAAAAAAACCTTCTTTGATATCACATGCCCGTAGCCTGATAAGTGGTGTCGCCGTGATATAAGCTTGCTGAATCTGCACACCATCGCATCTATATATTTCATTGAAACCTTTGGAATAAACCAGTCGTTAGTAGTGCCTGTCTGTCATATTCTGTCGAACACATGTTGCTGTCTTTTGTACTGCTAACATCACCAAGTTATGTATAATTACCAACTCACCGAACGACATGTTCTTATTAAATGATCATTACACCATTCTGTAGATATTAGATAGTTATGTAAATTCTGACAAAAATTTCATGATTTATTTTGTCTAGCTTAAGAGACACTGACAGAAAAAGCAATAAATGAATCAACAGGGTTCAATAAAAATGTCATAATAATGGCTTAAGCAGCAGAATTAGGTAAATATCCTGATGTTTTACAGTAACACATTGCTAAATATTGACAGTGCAAAAATAGATGATGAAAAAGATGAGAAAGACAAGAGATGAAGCACACCTTTCTCATCTCGCTTGTCCTTGTTTTTTGGCCATTGAGACTCAACAGGCATTGTAACTTGTGCAAAGAATCAATTTTCACTGGTGTTATTATTGAACAGCCCTGGAACAGGTTTTGTGTGAAGGCAGTACCTAGATACTAGTCGTAGATTGATCCCATAGACATTGTCATCTGTCATTAATGTGTAGGAGGGCATTCGCACTTTAATGACACTAGTTTGGAATCTGACAAACTGAGAAGGGAATGATGAGCAGTTGTTGCTACATTCAATCTACATCTTTGGGTATTGCACATTCAGGAATACAGTATCGCTCCACTTCCTCATGGTCTTATAGACATCAACTCTGGTACCATCTGCCCAGTCCTGTTTGTATGCGACAGCACTCGTGTTTTTGCCCGCCGGCAAAGGCCATGCTACACGTAACACACTTGTACAGCTTTTCACCCGCATGCGAGTGCAAGTGTTGTGTCAGCTTCTTCATCTCAGTGAACTTCGCTGGACAAAATTGGCAGGAGAATGGCAACTCGTCCGTGTGCGCGTGTTGGTGTTCCAGGAAATCGGCCAGTACGCTTGAGTGGTACCCACAGAACCTGCAAGCAAAGCTCAAGGCGCATGCTTGGTCCTGGCCCAGAGATGGCCGTGAACCTCCTGCATGCACAGTAATGGTAGCGTGTCATTATGCTCACATAGACTGCTATGCATTATAACCTGGCACAAGAATGCACTCAGACTACCTGAAGTATGACTGTACCACAGTATGAATGATATCAGTGAACACGTCAGATTTGTTACTGCCTACTCCTTGCAATTTTCTATTGTTGCTATCTCAAATTAGGGACACCTTACGTACTAAGAAAAACTTATAAATTTATCGATATTTTTGATGCAATGGCAAGCACAGACTGCCCAATTATTTTACAAGCAACACCACACACTGTATCCACTGATGACTCCCTCTTCATTTGTGGTCGAATTTGTCAATTTCTGCCACATTAGGGAATCTCGAGAACTAAAGCTCCAACAGAAAGTTCTGTCAAAATCAGCTGCTAGCGTGAGTCACAGTTTTCCAAACAAGCAGGACAAAACATACAAATTGGATGACATCCTTGCGCAATTCTCAAATAAGAGCCGATGATGAAGACTTAGTTCCAACCTCTTCTGTGTTTCAAACTTCTCCTTTCCTACAGCTACAGCTACAGCCTCTCCTACAGCTAGAATGGTTTCTGTTAGCAATATGGTTTCTGTTAGCAATATTTCATTTCTTCCTACCATGTGCCGTTCTCATTTATAGTATTATAACTTTAACGATGGACATACTCTCACTTTGAAGCAGTGCTACTTGCTATTTGGGGTCATCGCACAGCAAAAAGCATATCGTCTTTTAGCAAAGCCTATGTAAACACCCTTATCCTCGGCTAGCAATACTGAATTGAATTGGATGCGTTCTTTGAAACAATACTTGAAAAGACTGAAAGCAAAGGCGCCGCAAAGGTCCCCATCTCAACATACCTGGCAGCTCAGCAAGCAAAAAAAAAGGTGATATAAGAACCAAGTGCACAAACTGAAATTAATTGACCAAACAAGACAAACAACTATTTCTATAACTTGTTATGAATACACAACACTGTCTCACTGAAAAACAAAGCAATATAAGAGCATCACCATGCAGAAAAACACATTTAAATCAGACGGAGAGACATCTAATGTACTGAAGACCTGCATGTTTTTAGGCACTCATATTTCCACTCCCTATTCAAGATAAGCCCTTATATAGAATAAAATGCCACTAAAATTAGATTATATCTTAAAATATAAATTTGCATGATTGAGTATTCTTTATATGTTTCTTAAGTGCTACAGGTATTGGAGAAGTCTACATTGCCTTCAGTTTTATTTGATATTTACTTGCACTGATGTAGGAAAATCTGTTCAGCACACATTTTCCTAATTAAGGGCTTACAAAATATTTGCTTTGCAAGGAATATCATCTTGACTGTTCACTAACAGCATGGCATAGCATACATCTTTCTATCTCTTAAGTTATGATTTCAAGCATTCCATAAATTTCTCTATTGAGGCACTGAGCCTGTAAAAGATAGGCTGAATGCTACAACTACATCAAATGTGCCCAGCAACACTTTTCCAAGTAATCAGAGTATGACCTAAATACCGGTGAGTATTGCCTCACAAATCAGCTGCCACAAAGATTTTTACAATCTGTCATGTACAAGTGGAGTTCAAAGGATTTGTTGCATGCTTTAATGCTTTATTTCTTTTTGGGCCAGTGAGCGAGTTGAAAGTAAAGTGAGGGTGACCAGGGGCCATTCAACTACATCCGTACGTCAGCACGCGTCATGATCTTGAGCACTTTCTTTCTTCTGAGCGTGTGGCTCACTTTCACCATGATCACGGACATACTGTTGTAATTTTTGCACTGCAGAGCAAAAATTACACAAGAGTGATACCCCATGGCAGCCATAGTAACTATATACAGCTTACGATGCTCAAATCAGATGGTTATGTCTCTGAGCGTATGATGCAGTCAGGCTGGTGTCTGTGGAATCAACCGTCAAGACAAGAGTGAGCGATTTGTAGCCGACTTTGAAATGTAATTGTAGATTTCATGCTGTGTGTTGTGCCAAAATCTTTGGCTCGCAGGTTCACAAGAGCTTCTAGCAATCAGCGAAATTTTCTGATAATCTTCAAAAAGTGTGGCCGGGTCTCTTTAGGTTGCTGCCAAGTTTAAGCGAAAAGGCAATGCTGTCAATTTCGGCACACATTTTTTTGTTTTGTAATACGAAGAGCTTCTTACCGTAACATTTACAGTAATGTCATATAAGGTGCACAGCTTTCTCAACAAAATAATTTATAAAAAATAGATTGGATGGCTCCAAGCTTACACATGTAGCCACAACAAATGAGAACACGCCATTTCAGCACGAAATGATGCGCCATGCTAGTTTTCTCGTGGCACTTTTCCTTCTTGCTAAGACAATCTTATAACGAACTCAAATGTTTCAACAGCCCTTGCATTATTTGACCATGACATTAATTGAGGGATTAAAGGAACATTAATGGCAAATAACAATTTATCTTATGGTGAAAAACCAATGTTTGATTACATCTATAATGTCAATATTATGCACAGCAGCACCATAGTAATAGAAAAATTAAAGTGAATTTAGGACATGAGTCACCAGTGGCACATTCTGGTAGCACTCTGTCTCACCTGATGAGGAAGTAAGCCATCAGTACAAATTAATTGCTGGTACTCAAGCCACCTAATTAAACAGGAACATTGCAGTGTATTACAAGAAAGAATGAAATGCAGCTTTGTGCATTTCAGTTTGAGTTATGGAAAAATGAACTTGGTGACATTCCCTTGCGAATAAAGCAGCCAGTGCAAAAGTTGAATTCTCAGTGCATTGTGCTTCACCCTGCCACAGTGACAACTGTGGGACAGTAATGGGCGGGCATGGCAATTTCTACATCATGGGACCCTGGTCACAGGCACTAAAATAAATTGTGGCGACAGTACGCACATCACTAAAACATGAGTTTATTTATTTTCAAATTAAACATTTCCTTGACACTGAACAAGCACTATGAGTAATCTAGAATGCTATTTGAACAACTATTGTCAGTTTAATATTTGCTTTAACTGCCCCTTCAGAAGGAAACAACACGAAATGAAAGGAACACAGTGGTAATAGTGGTGACACGTCTGACTGACCAGGAACATAGGGGGGCACATATTCAAGCAGTATATTTTACAACCACTTCGCCTTTTCTTGATTTTAAATTCAATTGTTTTGATCTGTGGTTGGCAACAAACTTCGTCAAAGTTTCACTGTACTTGCATGGCATGGTTTCAACACTTACTGCCCCAACAAATGCTGTAACTAACATGGACAAGAAGTCTCCATGAGGATGCTCAACAATGTCCACATCTGCTCCCTCACACAATAGGCACTCACTGAGAGCGATAACCCTGAAAGGTATCCCGTAATTTTATTTGCCATTTAAAGTAATTATGAATGTACACAGAGCTCTAATGTAAAGCAGTGCCATTTTATAAGACAAAGTAAACTTATTCACCTGGCAACAAAACTGGGCTCTCCTTCCTACTAATTTAATGTATTGTACACATGTTGAAAATCTTCTTAATCCCCCCCCTATGTGATGCCCTTCCGGGTCCTTAGGGTATGTAAAAAAATGAAAAAAAAAACAGCAATAAAATATAGCTATGCAAGTCTAGAAAAAACAACCAAGGTATGGAAAATCGAACACGAAGACAGCTGAAGGTGAATAAGCTGACAACACAGTCAATGATTCATAGCATCCCTTAAATATAGAAGATAAGTACACACTCTACAATACACTATGCATTAGGTTTCAAAGAGCTGGAAAGCCAAGATGTTGCGACATGGTCAGCAATGTGCAAGCACACAAGTTAAATTGGTACAAAGATGAAATAATATGTATAGACATAAATATTGAAGTTTGTGGGGTCACATTTACAAGGATGGCAAATGTGTTTCACTTTCTTAGAAAATGTACGTTCGAAATATAATTATGATTGACTTGTTTTATTTTCATCACAGAACAGTCAACATTTGCCATAGGGCATGCCATGTTTTACTGCTGTGCACCCGTCCCCGTCCCTCGACTTTGGTAGAGTTCAGAACAAACTTCACAAGTGATGCACTATTGAAAATGAGACTCTGACGTCTTCCTCACGTGCCGGCCCTGGTCTCCCGATTTCCGGAAATAAAGGTCAAGGGCAAACCATTCTTTGAATTCTACATTTGGGGTCTTTGGCTGCTAAACAGTGATGGGTCAGATTTGATTGAGTAAAGGTATGAGGCAGACTTGGCACCCCCTTCAGGCAATTAGGGGAGGGCGGCCGCCCATCACTACACTTTTCGTGTCTTGCGTGTGCGCTTATGGTTTCGACATTTCGTCACCAATAAGAAGCTGTAAAATTATGCACTGTGATGGCTATACTCATGTCTGTCACGTGTGTAGCCTCTGAAGAAGGTGAGCCCACAGAAACGGCACTTGTAAGGCTTTTCTCCGGTATGCACGCGCACATGTCAAATCAGGCAGGCCTTTTGAGCAAACCGTGCAGGACAGAGATAGCAAGTAAATGGTCGTTCCCCTGTGTGGGTGCGCCGATGGTTCACCATGACAGCCTATTTTTGCGATCGGTACTCGTAAAAGTTACAGGCAAAGGTCTTCTTGCCTTTCCCACCAACATGGTCACCATGATGAACAAGAGAGCTTGGCAAGACTCCTGCAGAAATCAGACACAAAGTAAATATCACTTTTTACTTATATTTTCAAAGTTTCATCACTACTCTTATTATTTCACATATAAGAATAAGTGTAGAAATTCATCAGTGCATAATAGTTGGTTTATAGTGAACTATTGACGTGCTATGCAAGCAGTAAGGAAGACTTCACTCCATTCTGCCTTCCTTTTCCTCCTTTCAGCTACAGCAGCACGTCAATGGTTTAGTAAGAGTAAGCACTTTGTGAACAGGAAACTGAACCAACTGCTAGTCTTTGCAGACACACACATGTATATGCATACACACAACCTTTACAGGAATTTATCTATCATGGGAGTGACTCGTAGTACTTTAATAATGTGAACATTACCATAAAGTGTTCAACGCTTTATGCATGTAGGAGTTGCTGGATGTGATAATCTAGGGCTATAATGCGAATATGTAAGAACACATCAGAAACTGAACAGCAACACCTCTTAAAAGAATTACAATAGGTAGAGCAACTTTTTGGCTACAAAGCATGTTGTGCTACCCAGTACATACTGAAGGCAGATAGTATGAGAAGACCGCACTTTGCTGACTCCACAAAAATTCACTTGCATGTGTCTATTTCAAAAGACTTGATATCTTTGTTTTACTGTCAAACAAGGAGGAAAAGTATCTGAAGCTTCCTGCATGCTCTCTTACAAGTTAAGTTTGTGCTATAGAACTGCTTTGATCGAGATAGAAGCTTCTGCACTTTCTCATGCAGTAGCAATAAAGTGAAATTGGGTACCACTAAAACTCATGTGCATCGCACAAGATGCTCGAAGCTTAACGAGCACCAGCCAAGGTTTTAGGCAATACCAATGTTTCTAACTGATTTGGTTTCTTCCTTGGGGGTTGACTAAAGCAGTTAAGGAAGCACCGTCATTTTTTTGCAATAACAGCTTTTCTTTGGGGAATAATGCACGGAGTGTCCATTTTTATAAAAGAGAACATGCGAGTGCATGACTTGCATTCTGGCAGTGGCCACCTACTGCACCATCAGCCAACAGATAAAGAAAGCATGTCCGCTTTTGGTGCCATCTCTGGATATGAGTGCAATCTATCACCGCTTGTCCAATAACCGTAGCTCGTTGTTTTGTTTGGATGTGCTTTATCTGTTGTTGGCACAGTGGATGTGGTTTATCTGTCGGTTGGCACAGTGGATGTGCTTTATCTGTCGGTTGGCACAGTAGACAGCTGCAGCAGAGCGCAAGCCACATGCTCGCGTGTTCCCTTTCACGAAAAAAGACAGTGTGCATATTGTATGCATGCTCCTTCTCATTTTTGCTGCTGTTTTGTTGTGTCCTTCATCTGGTGAAGGTTGTCAGTGAACACAGCTAGCAATGTTCCCAACAAGTGATTGGTGTTGCTGAGAGTCAGAGTAAGGCCTGAACACTTTAGCTGGTGTCAATCAATGCAGCCAAGTGAATTTATCGCTGAGCCCGACAGACAGCTCTCAAACTTAATTAATGACCACATACCTTGAATCATCAGAGGGGACTTGATGCCTGCTTTTTTTGTGACCAACTGTCTAACTTTCTTTGACCTACTATAAAGCTTTATCATTTTACATGCAATATATAACAACTACTGTGCTGTTCCAGGTCAAAGATAGAATCCCTGAGACATTCTATCATTTAACCTTCTCTGTTCCTTAACTGTGCCTGTAGAATGCAGTGCAACATATTTGTAGGAGACATAATGAGCACATTAAGCTGCGGCCACAGCAGGCATGAGGCTTTGAACAAGCTACCTGCTGTTGTCAAGTAAAGAAAAACACGTCCACTTCTGCATACCAACTGCACCACACAAAACTATATGGTATTACCGAGTCCCTTTTCAGCTATTATCTGAAAATATGACACCAGTTTTAAAAGACATTATGCTGTTTTAACTTTCCCTTTTACATGCTCTCATTCAGGCTCAGGTGAATTGTGAACCATATCTATTCTTGACGTCAGTTTACAATCACGCCACAAAACAATCGCATAAAATATGCATGTATCGGCTTTGCGCATGTTGCATCAGGCCATCTTTCTTGAACAGAAACTTGACTTCAAAAACGGTCACCAGAGAGACGAAAAATTCCACGACACGTGTTGTGGCATGAAATAATCTAATAACGTTGATTACATGCGCATGCAGAAAAACTGCAACCGAATGAGAAACGTAAATTACAAATATCTGCGACAAGCACACGAGAAAAACGATAATCGTCATTGCTTGTTCACCAAGCGCAATCATTTGATACCGCCGCTTTTGAAGTTTCACTTTCCCTCAAAGTCGTAAATGGGAAGCTACGCACAGACGCACGCTCAACACTCTGCTGTCAATGGAGTTTATTTTCTTAGTCCATGAAGATATCGCTAACACAGCAAACACACGTTTCAAAGGAATATAAAAATGACAAGACAGCCGTCTCCAAACACTGCGAAGGAAAGCGCACAAAACAAAACAACAATAATCTAATCACGATGGCGATGATGGTTGGTATTGCTCTCGAGTTCATCTCTCGATAAAAAAAAAATTATATATTTTTTCAGCTGACGTTCTGAGAAATTCGGTCGACTGCGAGGAGGCACTCCACTTCGCCCAACACTTGAATTATGCTTGGTTCTGCGAAAATCCCACTGTCGGTTTTTCCGATTAGTGTTTTCGCTTTTGCGTCGAAAACAAAAGGGAAACGACTAGCCTGCTTCCTAATTTCCAGCTTGCTCGTCGTCCGACAGCGCCATCTATTTTTGTTGCTCCTAGTTCTTGCTCTTCAACTGTGCCATCTTGAGCAAGTAAGTTCCGACGATTGCTTACCCGTTTCGGGGGCACCGCTTTCGATAATTTGTCATTTGTGGTCTCCCGGAGTTAATTGAATATGTGCCTCTGTTACTCGCCGATGATGTGAGCTTCTCGCACTCGCGTAAGAGCGCCGTGCATCTTTCCAGTTAGGATGTTAAGCCTAAGCTGAAAACGTGTTGATTTTCGATTGCTTCCGATCCTCGCTCGGTCTTAAACAGAACGCGAGTTAATGTTCCGTTGCTTCGAGGATGTCTCCGATTTGACAGAGTGGTTTAAGTGGTTAGAACTTCGCCTTCGCGAGCGATTCAAGCTGCCACAGAGACGTCGGCGGACAGAACCCTGCAGCTCTTTATATTTTTTTCCACCGTGTCGTTGGACGAAAACATCTGCACCTAATTTCTCTCCCCGACGCCCGAGTTTTCCGAAGTTCGCTTGCGCGCCTGGCCGACTGCCGTGTGAAACTCGTGCACACCGCACGCAAATGTCGCCGGCTGGTGTGGACATTCGGCGGTAGTGACCTTTCTCTTAGCCAGTCGGGATTGAATGACGCCACATCGTGGCCGTGTTGAAATTCGGCGCTCGTCGGCCGCTTCGTTTCGGCCTTTTGACGACAATCTTCTCGGGGAACGGGATTTGCATTCGCACGTTCAGAGGTGTTCTTTGCAGCGCAGTTCCGTCGTGGTGTGAAGTAGTGGGTGTTCTTGACGGAGCTAGCAGTCGAACGCTGTTCTGCAGCTTTCCACCACGCCTCTCTCTGGCGCCCTCTTGACGGTACTGTCGCGAGCTCGCTGAACACCAGTTCATTGTAGTACAAGAATAGCGCCTCCGTTGAAGCGCCCAACTGACACGGCGAAAACGCCTTTCATTAGTGAGCGTCCGCACGTCTCCTTTAGGTTTGGAAGATGCATACGAGCGCCGTGCTTGATTGCGCGAGCGCTGCTTTCGTTTTCCCAGCCGGCACATTGGTTCGCGGAAGTGCCATGCCCGCGTGCTGTTGCATTCACTTAATTCATTTTCGGGACGACGCCGCTAGCCTAACCACCACTTTCTGAAGAAAGGTTTTAGAACAGGCTCGTTCCTTCGTGATTTTTTTTAGTTTTCGGAAACTTCGGTACGAACGAGACCGAGCGAGATAAGGCACGAACGCTTTCTCCGTTTTAAACGTGCACGTGGGCACCCTGACTCCGTATTCGAGACGCCGTTTGCTGAATGTATGTCTTTTTTGTTTGTTTGTTGTCGCCTTAGCGCTCTTTGTAATCGCAGAATACCTGACTTAATATGTGAGGTTTAACGTCCCCAAAATAGCATATGATTATGAGAGACGCCGTAGTGGAGGCCTCCGGAAATTTCAACCACCAAAGGTTCTTTGACGTGCACCCAAATCAGATCGCAGAATACTTACGGAGAAAGTTGTCAGTTTTTTTCACATTGGATAGTTCATGCTCGTTTTTCTTTTTGGTCACGGCTTTACCTCGAGTACATAAGCAATGAGCCAATGTGTTAGTTGAGTCGTCGTATTAAACCGAGGCCACCGTTGTGGCCAATGCGTAATTGCAGTTAGAATTAGCTTGCCAGTCTGGGCACATTAGTATGAACTGGCATGTGTTTGTACTTTGGTAGCAGAGTTAGAAAAGCGTGGGAACTAACCTTCACTTGCCTTGTACCCCTTGTGGTCAAAACTAACATGAAGCCCCTTGGCTGTGTCATACACTACGCAGAAGCAACCTCCGTAGTCTGAATGTGTTCAAAGCCTGCAATACTCTCAATTTAATGTCGTGGATGGCTCTTGCATACTAGGGTGAAAAGTCTGGTGCGTGCTAATTGGAATTTGTGCTGAGCTGTATGCCTGAGCTGGTTATGTTTTACTAGGTCACCGGACAGTACATGTTTCTTGAATGCAGTGTGCCTCAACACAAAAGCTAAATTTGTATCACCTTGTGAGTCATTGTCGTATTTTCGCAGCTGTAAACAAGTTGTCTTGGAACTTGTCGAATCCACACTTCCCTTTGATTGCCATAGAAGTGTCTGTGAACAGGCGACACCAATTTATTTTCTTTCTTGTGCAGGCCGTTATGTCTCTTGGCAGCAACTAGGATGCCCGGCCAACTGCCGTGCCCACGTCACCCGCTGTGCTTTGTCGGTATTGACCTGTAAGCACTCGGCAGCTTCTGCTGAACATTGTCCTAGGCACACAAAACACACTCACCAAAGAAAGGCACTTCCTGTCAAGTGAGTAGTTGTCGCACACATTTTTCCCTCTTGTTTCTATGATTTCCTGTTTGGTTTGTTGGTTGGATTGTATGAAGTTGGCCCTCCGTACCTGTTGTACTCATATTAGATTCGCGCTGATGTTGCTTGCGCATAGCGGGGCTTTGTGTGGAAACAATAGTTTGCTTGACTTTAGACAGGCATTACAATAATTAGTGCCTGCTGACTTGAGGAGGACATGTTCAACAACTGCGCAAAGTGTTTCTTGTTTCAAGCACACATATACTTTGATCACATATACCAAGCATTTAGCAATACAACTAAAACTGACTGAAAGGATCTTGGCCAAATTGTAGCATTTGTACAAAATTGGGAGCCAAATTGTCTAATGAACTGGTGTATCATTTGCTGATAATCAAGCCTCGTAAATGTAACAAACCTCTATATTGTTACGGTACGATGGATGCCTTTATTTACAGGAGATGATCAATACGAGAGTCCAGGGATCTGGCCGATCACTGCTCGTGCCAACCTCGTTCTCCTCTTCTTCCACGCGCATCCTCAGTATCGTAGCAATTCCCCCTTTGCAGACGATGCCCACCGGGCGAGTTAGGCTTCGTTGCGATGATGATAGCGTTTTAAACGGGCAACATGAACGACGTCGGTCTTGCTTGAGCGGCATCCAGTTGACAACAGCTGAGATATCACGTACGTGACATCGCTTAGACGTTCCAAGACAACAAACGGACCGGTGTAGTTGGCCAGAAACTTTTGGCAGAGGCCGCGCTTGCGAAGCGGCGTCCAAAGCCACACCAAATCCCCTTTCTCAAACCATACGTGCCGGTGACTTCTGTCGTAACGGTTTTTGGAGCGTTTCTGTGAGACGAAAGTTCGAAGACAGGCGATGCGCCGGGCCTCTTCTGCGCGGCAAATGGTTTCGGCGAGAGTAGGTTGATCAGTCTCGGAAAAAGGAAGAATAGTGTCAAGAGCTGTGCGGGGTTGGCGTGCGTAGAGCAGATAAAATGGACTGTACCTCGTTGTTTCGTGCTGTGCAGTGTTGTAGGCGAAAGTTATAAATGGCAAAATCGCGTCCCATGTTTTGTGTCCAGAATCAACATACATGGAAATCATGTTGACGAGAGTCCTATTTGTTCGTTCCGTCAAACCATTAGCCTGCGGGTGATACGGGGTAGTGTGACGAAAATGGCACGAAGCAAGACGGAGGAGGTCTTCAACTACATCGGCAACAAATTGCCGCCCGCGATCACTGATGATGACACGGGGGGATCCATGGCGTAATATAACGTGTGACAGCATGAACTGTGAAACTTGAGTGGCCGTTGCCGCAGGAATCGCCGCAGTTTCGGCGTAACGTGTGAGGTGGTCAACGCCCACAATAATCCATCGGTTGCCGTTCGTTGATCGCGGAAAAGGGCCGAGCAGGTCGACACCTACGACGTCAAATGGTGAACTCGGGGGTGCTATGGGATGAAGTAGTCCGGCTGGCGGAGTTGTAGGACGCTTGTGGCGTTGACATTGCTCACAGCTCGCAACGTATGCAGTCACACTTTTACGCATCTTCGGCCAGAAGAAGCGTTCTTGCGTGCGATAAAATGTCCTAGAAAAACCCATATGGCCAGATGTTGGGTCGTCGTGCATTGCTCGAAGTACGTGTTGCCGAAGACTTGTAGGCACAACTAGAAGTAGGCGAGGGCCTACGCCGGAATAATTCTTTTTGTAGAGAACGCCATCCTTTACGACGAAACCACGTTGACCGTTCGTTCCGGAAACAAAGAAAGAAGCGAGACTGTTGTCATTGCGTTGCTCTGCTCGAAAAGTTGTTAGGTCGGGGAACGGAGTATCCACTACAGCCAAATATTCATCAAAGTTGTCAGCGTCACACTCGGTTGTCGGAAGGGGAAGTCGTGAAAGGCAATCAGCGTCGGCATGACGACGACCACTCTTGTAGCAGACTTCAAAGTCGTGTTCTTGCAATCGTAATGCCCAACGAGCAAGACGACCAGATGGGTCCCGTAGTCCAGTGAGCCAACATAAAGAATGGTGGTCCGTGACAATCGAGAATCGGCGGCCATAGATATAAGGGCGAAACTTGTGCACGGCGAATATGACCGCGAGACATTCCTGCTCTGTGACAGTATAGTTTCGCTCCGGCTTACTTAAACAGCGACTGGCATAGGCAACGACGTGTTCAGCAGCTCCATGGCGTTGGACCAATACGGCGCCAATACCTACACCACTGGCGTCGGTATGAACTTCTGTGGCAGCAGATGGGTCATAGTGGCGAAGTACGGGCCCTGACGTAAGAGCAAACTTGAGTTGCGAAAAAGACGACTCGCATTCCGCTGACCACCGAAAAGGAGCGTTCTTGTTGAGTAGGGACGTCAAAGGGTAAGCGAGGTCGGCGAACCTGGGCACGAAGCGACGGAAGTACGAGCATAGGCCCAAAAAGCTTCGCAACTCTCGTACCGACTGAGGTTGTTTGAAGCTGCTGACTGCTGCGACTTTCTGGGGGTCGGGTCGAACGCCATGCTTGTCCACCAGGTGACCGAGAACGAGAGTCTCGCGGCTGCCAAAGTGACACTTCTTAGAGTTCAGGGTGAGCTTAGCTCTCTCAAGGCAGGTGAGAACAATGTCTAGACGATGGTTGTGTTCATCGAATGTACGGCCAAATATTATAATGTCATCCAGGTAGCAAAGACAAACTTCCCACTTTAGTCCACGTAACACAGAGTCCATGAAGCGCTCAAACGTGGCTGGAGCGTTGCATAGGCCAAACGGCATTACATTGAATTCAAATAGACCATCTGGGGTTATGAAGGCCGTTTTCTCTTTGTCATTCGGGTGCATGGGTATTTGCCAATAACCAGATCTCAAATCCACGGATGAGAAGTACGATGCCGAATGTAAACAATCGATGACATCATCAATCCTGGGAAGCGGGTAGACATCCTTTTTAGTAACAGAGTTGAGCCGTCTGTAATCCACGCAGAATCGCCATGTACCATCCTTCTTTCGGACAAGAATCACAGGGGCAGCCCAAGGGCTACACGACTCTTGAATAACCCTTTTCTTTAACATCTCTTCTACCTGTTGAGTAATGACCTTGCGCTCCGCAGATGAGACACGGTATGGTTTCTGCCGGATAGGGTGAGCGGATCCTGTGTCAATCCCATGGCGAGTACGCCACTCGGGTACACTTATTTGCTCTTCTTTCTGCGCAAAGTCAAATATAGTAGCGTGCTTCGCAAGGACTTCGACCAAAGCTTGACGTTTTTCTGATGTTAGCGACTTGTTTACCATACTCAGAAAGTTGGCTTCTGTATGGTACGTTGCACAAATAGGATCTACTCTCTCGTCACTTAAAGATGCAATGAAACTAGTCACATTTTGTTCGAAGCGGGCGAGTCGCATTCCGCCGGGTAGCATAACAGGTTCATTTGAATAGTTCGACACCCATAAGGCCGATCGCCCATCACTGATCGACAGAACACAATGTGGAATGAGCACATTTTTCTTGGCGCAATTAAGAGGAATGGGCTCCACAAGAACATCAAACTTTCCGGCGTCTGAGGCAGAGGCGTCAACGCGTACGGTCTTCATTGAGTTGGGCGGCAAGACAACATCCTCAATGACGGTGATAGATCCTTGACAACACCTAGGATCGTCAGTAAATGCCGATAGCATAATCTCGCCAGCACCGCAATCTACAGTAGCCCCGCACTCGCGTAGAAAATCGATGCCCAAGATGATGTCATGGGTGGAGCTGGTCAGGACGGCGAATTCAGCCTCGAAGACCTTGTCACCCAAAGTGACACTAACAACACACACACCGATCGGGCACAATGTCTCCCCGCTCACTGCACGAAATGATGCACAACTGTCCCAGCGAAACATCACTTTATGCCCTAGCCGCAATTTGAAGTTAAGACTCATTACTGAAACAGCTGCTCCAGTATCTATCAAAGCCATCGTAGGAAGTCCATCAATAAGCACGGGGACCCTATTTTGAGTCATAAAAACGGGTGGAGGCATAGGCGGATGTAGTGACAAATGTTCGGCGACCTCACCTCCATTGGCCGCACCACCTAGTTTCCCGGAGGTGGGGAGGTGACGCGTCGACCAGGAGATGGGGAACGGAACCGGCGTGTTGTGGGGGGCGTCAAGCTTCGCACGGAGGAAGGCGAGTCGTTGCGTAAATTCCGGTGGAAATTGCGTCCTACATGCGTATCACTGTGGGTCGTTTGCTGGAAACCGTCCCCATCGTACACGTCCCGCATTGAACGCATACCACCGCGCCAGCGGTTTTGTCGAGAGGAAGGTGATGGTCCCTCGTAGTAGCGTTGCTGGGGGCGACGCCTTTGACCACAGAATCGAGCCACATGTCCACGGAAACCGCAGTTATAGCACACAGGGGCCTCACGCACGTCGCGAAACCTTCCACGAGGGGCCATGTGCCCATGATCGTCCCACGAAGACACCATTGTAGGTGGTTGGCGGGAGGCGTTCTGGAAACCACGGCGATGATGTAAGTTGTCGGTTGGGGGCTCTGGTGCTCTTGATTGGGGCACATCATATAGCGTGGCATCAACGGCAGCACACATTGCGTCGTATGGCGGGGAGGTGTTGATAGCAGGTGCTCTCGGCGGGTTGACAGCATCACGTCGTCCAAGTTCTTCGCGTACGATTTGCCTGATCATTGAGGCAAGATCACAGGGGGATGTTGGATGGACGTCGACACTTGCAACGGTGGTGACGTTGGCAAGTCTACCGAATTTTGGAGTGATGCGCCTAGCCTTCAGTGTCTCAAACGTGCGGCAGTGTTGTATTACGTCCGCTACAGACGCCAAGGTGTCCTTGCCGATGAGGAAATTGTAGACATCCTCAGCAACCCCTTTGAGAAGATGCCCTACCTTGTCGTCTTCTTTCATGCGTGGGTCTACAGACTTGCACAATTTCAAAATCTCTTCAATGTACGTTGTGCATGTTTCACCGGGGACTTG